GTTGCTAGGAAGCCTTTACACCGTAGTGATGAAAGCTTCCTTGGATCATCTCTAGCACGTCCATGCTTGGATTAACTTGCTTTCACTTCCTGACCGGGCTATGGAGTTGATCCCTCTGACCCGGAAGTTGATACCATATGATGGTCATATTTTTTTTTTTAAACAAGGAAACAGGGGCGCAGCGCCCTCATGCCATGGCATGTGCCCCCTTTACCATGGGGAGCAGATCCTCTGGCAACCATTAAATTCTGATTGACCAGGGATCACATGTGGTCAGTCTTCAACTGTGACCTGTCTGATAGTACTTTTAGCCCCAAGCAAGCCATAGAATGCTCTATTTTAACTTAGAATTATCAAAAACTCCACACTCTGGTAGGGAGAACTCTATCTCCCCAACTTAGTGGCGCCACTGAATTGCAGTTCTCCCTCTTGCAGTTTTTTTTTCTAGAAAAAACCCCTGGTCAATATTCAGTTTTAATGACCATCAGACAAATATGGAAGTTTAGTGTACATTCTGTTAGCATGCGTGTAGTGGACCCCGCAAACAAGCACAAAAGACATAAAAATACACCCAAAAAATAGCATTTATTACAAATTTATAAAGCATTTAACAAAATATTGACATCCTGATATTGAAATCTTATGATAAGAACACATCTTCTTGACCCATCGTTTTTGCATACTGTAAAATACATAGGATGATGCAGTGAAAATAAACTCCAGTGAGTATACTACTTTTTCTATCCTCGGGGGCGAAGCTACATCACAAGACGTTCCACTTTGCACCACTGTACATGCATTTCTATGGGCTCTGTGCGCGCTGCTGAGGAACGCCGGTCGAGCGGGTGAAAATTCGAGATAACATCACAAACTCAACTTTGAAGTAATATCCTGAACAGCCAAATTTATATATGTTACACACGCAGGGCTAATCTTGTTACACTGTTCAGGGGAGTCTCAACAACCATCCCAAAGTACCGTTTTCTGCGAGTTTTTGACCTATGTTTTCACCGCCAGGGTTGCCAAGTGGTGAAAATGCCCGGATGTCCGCCCCGAGGATATTTTACATTTAGCTTATCAACAATGAAAATAAATTCCATACAGAAACACCCAAAAGGCCTTTTCAGCAAAAAATGTTTTCCAGCTAAAATAAAGTATTCCACAGTAACTTATTTTCGCTAGTTCTATTTGTCACTTATTCAACTAAAGGTTAAAGTTAGAGGGTCGTCACCTGCTTATGAGCGGAAATTGAGTCCCAAGTGATGATAACAACACACGCTAAAAACGCTAAGACTCATAGGTAGACGATTGTTTGTAAACAATGACATGCTATGGCCATCTGATGCATGCACAGGTGACGACACCCTGCTTTAACCTGTTATCCAGACATTTTAAATACACTCAAGAATTTGGTCTGGTGAATCGCAATGCAATGTACTACATAGTCGACACAGAATCCTATGTCGTCACTGATTGGCTGTCTACATAACTTAAGTACATAACCATGGAAACTTGTATGCGCAGCCTGTCCAGTAGGAAAAGCCTGACCAGAACCACACAGACCGATCATTAATCTATTATTCGTAGATTTTTTAAAATCTTAGGATCATTAACATTTTTTTTTTTGTTTTAGCTCAAATGGTGTGTAGTTAAAAACATTGTAATTCGCCACACTTACTATAACACATATTGTGTTCACTTTGCAAATCTGGGAAGTACCATTGCGCTATCGTCACACAGAATAATCAAAAACATTCCGATGATTTTGGATTGCAAAGAGAAGCATGGAAAAATATTTTCTTTTTCAGAATGAATTGCATGTAAAAATAAAAGTTTTGTCATCCACAAAATGTAATAATTATTGTAAATTAGCTCACTGTATTCGCAGGGCTACGACGGTGGTTCGGTTATACTTCAATTCTACCATTTAATTTGTACGAAATTTTAATAATTCTGATTAATTCTGACTAAAGATCATAGCATTGTAGCTCTCGCATATGATGTCAAATTCTACGTAACATCTTTGTTTATGTCACCATGGATACAAAGGATAATAATTGTATTTTTTTAAACAGATTGGTGAATTTTCGATCAGATGTAATATAGTGTTTAAACTACGTATAGCCAAAATGAAAGGTTAAAGGTCGATGGTCGCCACACCACGTCCTGCCCTGCCCTGTCCTGTCCTGTTCGAAATGCAGGGTCATAGCAACGCATGTAAAATACAATATATGTTTACATAAAATTCGACGACAGTACTTTAAAAATGACGCCAGATGTTGATACGCCAGGAATGCTACAGAGTTCTAGGCAGGTACTGACGTATATGACTAGGGAAGTTTTCTATCGGTTTTATGCATTGCATCATGGGAGGTAATCAACAGATGAATCATTTGCATCATACAAAGAGTAGATCTTTTCAGAATTAAGTGTTGTATTTGAGGAGGGTATTATGTTATCCTCGGGGGCGGAGCTACGTCACAGACGTTCCACATTGCTAAGACGCGCACCACTGTATCCACGTATTTTCTATGGGCTCTGTGCGCGCTGCTGTGGAACGCCGGTCGAGCCGGGGAAAATTCGAGAA